CCAGATCGTCGGACCACCTTGTAGGGGGCCTACCCACGCTCTTGCAGTACATGGTCGCCAATCCAAAAAAATTTGGCGTCATCGACCGTCTGTTCTGCAAGCAATGTTCCTCGTCCAATCCCACTTAAGTCAGGAAATTTGCCGTTCAATGTTAGTAACCTTGGTTCGTCTCTAAATATCATTCTGAATTCGATCACGCAAAGAAACTCCGAATATATATATGTACAAGTAAGGATAATGCCAGCTCTTATAACTAATATAACTACTATAAAATAATAATCTGTTAATACAGCTATTGATATAAACAAGATAAAATACGTCACAGCGTATATAAACACTTGCACACAAAGGAATAGTTAATTCAATAGATGTACGTCAATTGACAGATTTATACTTACATCATCTTCTCGTCTGATGAGTATCATTATTAGTCATAATTATTGTATAATCTATTTACATGAAAGATTAAGTTCACCTTAACCTGCAGATCAGCAGATCTTCAAACTGTTTATATTTTAGGAGAAAGTATTTGGTATCTTGAGTGGGGACCGCGTCTAGGCAAACTTAGTGTAGGACGCCTACAGGCTAGGTGGAGGGACGATCTGCGCAAGATGGCTGGCAGGAGCTGGAGTCGAAAATCGATCAAGTGGCGTGCATTGGTTAAAGGTCCATGTCCAACAGTGGACTGCGATAGGCTGATGATGATGATGATGATTATGGCATTTGTGAATAATATATTTTTTTAAACTAGTTTAGTATAGTTATTGTAGGTGTGTATTAATTTGAGCACTATGCAATGGTTAAAGTCATAAAGTTTTCGGTGAGATACTAGCATAATTTGTGTGTAACAAACGGTTTTCCCTAGTATAGGTGTTTTCCTTTCGATGAATGTTTGTCGACTAAATTATTCATTTTATTTGTCTTTATTGTACAGGAAACAATTCGCAAACAAATAAACTCCACAGGCGACAATTGACACGCACGCACGCAAAACAATCGAGGTGCCCTGTAGACCATACTGAATGAAACACTTCAAGTTCATAACAAAGTACAGGACAACGTTTTAATGACCATATCCCATAACTCATTTCTTTTATAGTAAGTATAAATAAGATCCAATGTTGGTAAAAGAAGGAATTAATACTACTAAAAAGAGCCAACTATATTACTCCCAACTTCAAAATATTTGACACAATACAACCACAAATATGTACTTCAGAATATATACTGAATGAGCTGCTGCTGGAAAGAGACAGCTGTTGTTCCCACGTGGTGAAGTCGAGGTCAGTACGCGCGTCATTCGCTCATGCGTTTTGTCATTGTATGGAAAGGGCTTTCGAACAAAGGAAATTTGTTTGTTACCTTTGCAGGCGGTTCAGAACTTTATCAGATTTCATGAAGGTTTAAAATCGAATGTTTATTATTTAAATGTTATGCTATGACCTAATTCGATTTTTGTTGTATATTTATGGAGATGTAAATAAAAGAGGTTTATTCACTGTATCCATAAAGAAGTTTTTTAGTTACTTTTAGTATTACATTTTATTATTTACTGTAGAATGTAGATAAAAACACACATATTGTTTTGAACCATACATTTACCTTCATTGACGTATCATCTTTAAGTTTTTTGCCTTTCACAAATACTGGCATACAATCCCTTACCGGAAAACCTATGCAGTACTTTTTAATATGAATGAAAAAGGCTTAAGGTAAGTATCTGCATATGTGTAATAAATAATCTGTGTCTATCACTGCACGATATGCTTCTAAACGGATTAATCAATATGGGTAGTTTTTTGTAAGGTATTCAACAGCTATACAGCATAGCACTTTATCAGCACCATAGAACTACCTTATTCAGGATTGTCACCTGTGGATGTCATTATACATACCCCCTACCATAAAGCTACAGGTATTAAAAATATTTATTTTTAATACATAACGGTGTTGGGGTTTATGTCTACCCGAGTCTCATTATGATTTACAAACTAAATAAAATGAAAGAAATATGTCTAAAACGATCAATAAATTTTATTAAGCTGTCACAAATAGATTTAGTTCATATCAAATAATTTATTAACGAATCTAAATATTCAGCTCATATTTTCTATAATAACTTATACCATCGTTAGTCGACATTCAATATTGTGAGGGTAAATTTATCAGAAGAAAGAATTGAAATTACTGAATTGGAATTGCTGATATCTCATCTTCTGTATGTAAGATTGTATGTTTACAATTAACCAATATGTAAATTGTATAAAAATGAAATATTTTTACAGTCTCAATATTAAATGCTCAACACGTGGAATAATTAAACCAAACCAAATAAAGACATTTCTAAATAAATATAAATAAGAATTATAAACAGTTATGGAATGTATTTAATTCATAATAAAGAATTTATTTTTAAAACTTACGCTATTAGAATAATCTCATTGGGCAAGATATTTTGGTATAATAATATCACTAAGTGAAAATTAAATTAGGAATAAATGTTTTTTTGTTTCTAAATTAAACAATGATATGTTGTTATTCTTTGTTATTCTTGATTGTAATAAAAGTTACGTAAGTTAAAATAAATACAAAACAGCGTACATCCACTCTGACATTTAATACTTTTATGGTAAATAACATTTTTATAATAACATCAACAAAAGTAGCTAATACATATCTTATTATATTAATTTATTATTGCTATAGATTTAAACAACAACATTACTTTTTATTATTCAACGACACATGATTTTTTCATACAAAAGCTCAAATGTTAGATACCTCGACTTGTAAAACAGTTAACATCAAGCAAAAACCCGACTGCGTGAAAATCGAATACGTAAATTCACGAATTTAATTATATTTTATATCTTTTTAGCATTTCTCGTCCCAAATTACATTTAAATATATTAGTTGTGTATATTTTTATAAAACATTTAGTATGATTTTTGTAAGATCTTGGAGGAAATAATTTTTTTAAACCATATAATTTGGCGCCAATAAATCTGACATTTTTTTTATAATTTGCCTATACCAGTGTAACTTTCACAATTAAGACAAATCTAACGACACCTCAAACGCTAAAATCCATCAAGATGTTTAGGCTGAAGGGAGAGTCAAAGAAATATACATAAATACACAACATATACTCGAAAAATAATCTTCGTGGCGTAGTCGGGTAATAAGCTTCACGTTTATAATTATTTCATTTGCTACCTATTAATATTCATTTAAACTAATTACTTCATATTTCATCCCCCATTATTGAACGTATTACATATTTTAATTGAATTGATTCATTGTTTAATATCAAGATTATTGTAAAATAAGTTTGAATCTTACTCTCTTTGATTTTTAGTATTAATTAGTTTTAAAACAAATTTCTCAGTATTTTCACCTCAGAATATCAATTTTTCAGGAGCAATCTCTTACACGTCTATTTACAAATATAGTGACATGTAGGTAAATGTAAAACGATTTAGCGTTAAATATGATTTTCATCAATTTTTTTTAATTATTTGGTATTTTTATGCAAGAAATATTAATGTACCTATGATATAATACAATAATATATAATGACTCTACCATAATTTTACGTCAAATGATTTATGATTTATTAACAAGAAGTCACGGTTTTTTATCAATAATATGTATAATTAAACATCAATACAAATAGAAAATAATGATTCAAGTATTTTTTTGTGATGAACCGCTGAACATTTAACGGGTGTTAAAAAATCTTCTAATCACAAAACATAGTATATAATAGACTCAATTAGATAACAAATAAAATTTAATGCAATATTATTATGGTCAGAGATGTATTGAAGCACTTAACAATTACATAAAACACGACTTTATTCCGTTCATTATATTCATAATTAGTTTTGAGATTTTTACTGTACCTACTTACCTACATAAATAACTTTGAAACGTACACAACATTTTTAAAACCGCAAATATCAAATTTCCCATACTAATTAATTTTGTAATTTTTTTGGATCCGTACCCACAGGGCAAAACGGGGCCCTATTACTAAGACTCCGCTGTCCGTCCGTCTGTCTGTGTGTCTGTCACCAGGCTGTATCTCATGAACCGTGATAGTTAGAAAGTTGAATTTTTTACAGACGATGTATTTCTATTGCCGCTGTAACAGAAAAATATTAAAAACAGAATAAAATAAATATTTAAGGGAGCCCCCCTTAAATATTTATTTTATTCTGTTTTTAACAGCCAGTTTTTAACCCATACAACAAATGTGATTTTTTTACTCGTTTTTGCTCGATATTGATAACGGCAACGGGTAGACGCTTGAAATATTCACAGAAGCTTTAGTTATATATTCACTTTAAAAATAAATTATTAAATTAAAATAAAACAAATATTAAAGGGGGGCTCCCATTCAACAAACGTGATTTTTTTGCCGTTTTTATAGATAATGGTACTGAACCGCATTGGTCGATTTTTTCAAAATACTAAACAGCCCAAGAAGATAAATAACAGTATATAATTTATTTTTCTATGAATTAATTAATTATATTTTATTATTAAAATTATTTATTAATTTATAAAGTTTATTTTTAAAAATTGAAACGATGTGATAACTATTCACCTAATACGTTGTTACAGCCTCTACTTTTTAATTTAAAAAACGTATAAGTTATAACTACTCACAACTCTCAGAATTTGAATAATTTAAAAATACTTCTGCCTAAGTCGTTAAGTTTTTCGCGTATACGCCACAGAACGCCATATTTTTTTTAAATTTTAAAGTCATTGATAACGTGATTCATAAATCATTATTTATATAGTGAAGGAATATTCCTTGGCACTTCTATATTTTCTCATCTGATCCTCAAAATCAAATTAAATAGTACCAAGAGTCAATAAAAAATGTCTACACATTGAAAGCTTTAAGTGTCGAAAAGATTCGAGGGAGAAATCCAGCTCTTCTTGTCGGTGTCCGGCGCTCGCAGATCGCTCAGGAGTCAAGCGGGCCCTCAATCAGCGTTTATCATCTGGAACAAGGAATTTTTACTTTTAATTTATCTCAGATATGAGGTTAGCAAAGGGTCAGAAAGAGTCCTGAGCGACCTGTTTGAAGAGAACACATTTTTAATTGTTTTTAAAACTTTCGCCTTATGCCCTTCATATTAAATGTATACATTGGGACTTAATTCCGAGAAGGGACTAAAAACTTACTATTTATCATGGTTATTAAGTCCCAATTTATACATTTTACATGAGAGCAATTTTTTTTTACTCGTAATTTGAAACAGTTTCAAATATGTAATACATGCAATTTATAAATTACGAATGTATTCGGCTTTTAACTACTCTTTTGTAACTATTTAAAAATACCATCGGTAGTTCTTTGTAGTAATATTAATTTTATATCCTAAATGTACTGTGATTCAAAAACCTAACAAAATCTGGTAATATGCTATGTACAAAATTCAGAAAAACATGTATAGTTATTAGTTTAATTAGGTATCTGTTACAAAACTGTAAAATACAAATAAATACGAGTACATACACAGAAATACCAACGTCATTCGAATCTGGTATTCAAATGAAATATATCTATTGTCAATACGAGATTAGTTATGTTTGTGCTAAGTACTTCACTTTTTATGCTGATTGTCTGAAGTTAGTAATGGTGTCAATACGACTTAGTAAATGCAAAAAACAGCACAGACAAATAGTACGATATCTTATTGTAGAGACGTATACCTACGATGTATATGGTATAATACGGTATATATGGTAAGGAAATAAAAATACATTGCCATAAAAATATTTTATCACTATACATAGTATAATGAGAGAAGAATTAATCCTGGGAAAGTAAACATCCTTGACTTTTACAACGTATTTTTCTTTTAAAATTTACATAAGTACAATGGAATGAGGAAGATTTACTTGCAAGGAGTGCTTTTTGACAGCTTCGCGGAACTTAAATGTGCATCATCGTCAAACTTGTTTTTTGAGTAAAAATCAATAAATACTCATAAAATTGTAATTAATTGCGACAATTATACATCGCTGATACATGAAAGAAACAAAGAAATGAGATGACTCAGAATCTCATTTAGAATCATAGAAAAATACCCCTGCATGAGTCAACAATAGTCATCAGTGAATGTTAGCCTTAGCCTAATACTACTTCGAGGAATTAGCGCTCGAATTCTGCTAATGCCTAGTTAGTGATATACACGAATGATGACCCGTTAAGTTATTATTATTAGAGAGAGAAAGACTAAATAACTAATATCTAACTAAATAATCTATACAAATAAATATAATTGAAGTGTCTGTTTGTAATGTCAAAATAATAGGTTTTTTTCATGCTCGCACGGTAATTTGCACGATACCTATGCCTAAAAACCAGTTTAAATATTTTTGTCTATCTGTTTATTCCGGGTAATCTTAAAAACGGCTTGACCGATTTTGATAATATTTTACTACCAGGTAGCTGTCTATATAAGGAGTAATTTAGGCTATTTTCCCTCGCAGAAAAACCCTATAAAACTTTGGACGGTTCGGGAATCGAACTACTAAGGCACTGCACTTTTCAAATTCCACGCGAACGAAGTCGGCCTACCAGGTAGTAAGACATAAATTTGAACTATAAATATAAACATGCGTATAATTAACAATGCTATGTTGAACATACATATATACATAATTAAGTAATACATGTTGGTACACGTATTACTAAATTGATTGCCTGCCTTAAGTTTATGCCAAATGTTTTTTGCAGTAACTAAAAGCGTTAGTTCCACCAGTTTAGTTTAATCTGTGCTCCCGTACGCTATGTTTTCATTTGTTTTGAATATAGACTCAATTCAGTAAGAGATATCACCTAAACTTAAGTTCCGTGATGACAGACAGTTTAGTTGAGTAGAATATATTCTGTGGTAAATAATTATAGGCGTACTAAAGACTTTAAAGCATATCGGGGTAAAAACTAGCATATGTCCTTTATCAAAAATCAAATTATCTCCATACCAAATTTCATCTAAATCGGTTCAGCGGTAATTGATTCCCCGTACAAACTTCCACCCCCTTTATACCCCTTTAAAGGATAATTTCTGGGATAAATCTTAAGGGATAAAGTATAATCAACAGCCTTTAATAGTCCACTCCTGGACATAGACTTCTTCTTTGAAAGGAGGTTTTGGCCTACTTTACCACGCTGTCCAGACGAGTTGGTATAGGGTTTGTTTCAAGTTTTCCTTCTCTTTGCAGTGCTGTTGTCCTGCATACTTTGCTCCCTTAGTCGGCTCTTACGACACAAATGACGGATGAATAGGGGTGATGGTACTCCGTATTCTTAATCCGTCACCATACAATTTTAGAAATACAGTTTAGAAACTGAAATCAATTTATCGCAAATTCTTTTATTATATCGAAGACATCGATTTGAGCAATCATTCGATATCAAGCACACTCAAATTAACTTTTATTTCATTGACTTCATTTAAATCAAATAATAATAACTTGGCATAATTTCTCACATATGGCCATCTGATACGTGAGCTTGTACTATGGTAACAAGGCTCTAAATACATAATACATACATTATGACATTAAAATTACTTAAATTTAATTGATGAGTAAGCAGTTAACTCCGATACCAATTCTGACGATGTTGTCAACTATAGGTACACCCGAATTTTTAAACGCGCTGGATTTGCCAATGTTGCTACCTCACAATCTTCTTTTAAAGGTCAGATCGATGATCAAGCTATTGTGAAACACAAAACACCCGCACATTTGTATCGTAACACCAATGACAGTGAAAATAATGAAACTATTTCAAAGAAAAAGCATTATGGAGAACACTTTTTAATAATGCGCATCCCACTATTCCCATCTTCCGATTGACATACCTGCCATTTGAATTTAAATGACTGTAGCTGCAATCAGGTTCGCTTGCTTTCACTGTGACCATAAACAGTTATCAGGAACAGTCATTGAGTATTTACGTCATCAATCTATAAGCCCATGTTTCTCGCTGGTACTCCAGAATTTGAACATGTAAGATAAGTCTTGGGGTTGCTACATTTCAACAGCTTGTGACAGCACAACGTCTATCGTGTCACCTACTTCATTACAAAGAAATTTTAAACAAATAAAGCCATAAATTCTGCAAAAATGTCCCTTTAAAGCATTATGGCGTACTTGTTTAAAATTCCTTTGTTTCGTATGAACATCAGGCGATCTTTAGTAACTCTTAGGCAAAATTAAAAGAACATGATAAAAATGACTAAATGAATCACTTTTAAATACTCAATATAACCTTTAGATGCGAAATCGTTGCGATATTTGTATGTGGTATGGGACCCTAACGCTAACAGTTGAAAGGAACAACTAACTATTGCATTGAGCATAAAATGTGCACACACGTGCAAATATTTAACTGCTTATATAGACACACGCTTGTATGGATATAAACGATTTGACACTTGCTCAATCCTTCTAGGGCTGACACTTTTTATAAAGCTGTTTTATTTTTATTTGCTGGAAGAAAACATTGCAGCAGATTGTTAATATTTCCCATCTTCATCCTCTCTGTTCTTTTCATATCTTACGAATAATCTTTACATAGGACAATCACAAGTATTTTTTATGTAAATTATGATGAGAATTATCTTATAAACTAATTAACATTTTCATGAAATTACCCATTACGCAGAACAAAAACAAATTACTTAATTATAAATACTATATTACATTGTACTATCAACATTATTTTCGGTGTAGACATCCATTAATTTAACGCCTCTTATTAAATTATTCACACATCATAAAACTTGTTGGAAACGACAACCCTGCGCTTACTCCCAAGCACTTCATACACACACATACATAGCTCAACCGGTCGATTGACGTCAATGATGGGTGGGGACGTCGAGTGGTATAAAAAAATTAAAACTATCAGTTTACTACGGACGGAAAACGACACATAACCATAACAAGCTATTGTTCCCTGCATACCCACGTATCAACAATCTACGGTATTTATTTACAAGTTGATTAATGGTATGATGCTTTTTGCACTCAATAATATGAGATTTAAAATGATCCTATTGTTTAATTTCATTTACAAATACAGTCGTGATAATATCATAACATTACATCAGATATTTAGAATGAAAACTATTAAGAATTTCGTTAATTTTGACAATGTGCTTTGTGAGACGACAGTATTGTTCGATTTTATGTTGACTTCGAGGACGAGTACGAGTTACCGTTATTGTAATATTTTTATTAAATATATAAATAGATATACAGATTCTAATATATAATTAGAATCTTTTCTTATTTAGTTCTTTACAAACGAACTCTGAACAAGATAATACACACGCAATATGATCAATGCAATAAATGTATACACATACTCCTGTCTTGATAAAATTTAAATTGAATTAATTTAAGTCTTACCTAGCAATATGAGAGATTTTCTTTAAATCTTCTCGATTTTGGCACAAACTGTTCGAATTTTGCTGATTTCGTTATTTCATGGTACCTCATGAGACATGGAAATTATTTGGTACTATTAAGCCTGATGACTATGCTAATGAAGTTACTAAATAAAATAAAACATTTTATAAGATTAATATATAGTGCACCAATCAAAATATTGTGGCTTAGCTTTACTCATTTAAAATACCAGAGCAGTTTTAAATTAGTATAATAATATAAATGAAGATAAAAAACGTAAATTAAAAAGATAAAAAAGCTCAGATAAATAAAAGAATCACATAAATTCTTTAGGTGGCTTATATTTCAAGTTAAACATCAAATCATGGGGTCACACCAAAGTGATATTTGAACACCAGTTCTTGACGTCAGCAATGTCCGTGAGATGCTCTGTCATAGCATAGCACGATACACGTAATGTTATTAATTACTTATACGTATGGTACGTGTTCGTATTACGACAACCTCTAAGTCAACCAAGCCTCGGTAGTCCATAGTGTGAGACGAAAGCTCTTGACATAAAACGTTGCAACGTATTGAACGCTCAGTTTACGACTGTAACATTACTTATGTTAAGTTATGGTACATTGTATATGTATTACATAATATCTTCCAATAAAGATCTCGCTAACATTTGTCAATTACTGTACTGTTAAAGATTGTCTCTGTAGTTGAGTGTTATGTGAGGCATTCTATAAATAGAAGCTTTACTTCGAGTAAAAAGGAAATATCAGAATACGTTAAGTGCATGTGGAAGCAGGCAATTGTAATGTTAACACTAACTCTGATGTATGTTGGGTAACTGTAACAGTTGGGTATGCTAGCTGAGAAACGGTATGGTTGTAATAAGTAGAAGTGACGAGAATTGTCTAACTGTCACGCACTGCTATAGATGTTTCAACATGTTGAAAGGATGCCGTAGTCGGTGTAGGTCCACCAACACCGACTTGAAAGACGAAGGACAATGATCAGATTAGCATTACTGGACTAGTTAAAAGCACTCATAACCGGTGAGCGTGTGTAAAGGGCATGATGAATGTGGAAATAGACGCGAGTATTTCAGGATTGTATCCTGCGTAGGTACCTCGGGTGGAAAAGACACACTATATTCAAATACGAGACAGCCAGACAGAGACAATACTGACTAGTACTATATAAAATTTAAAGTTATTGTAACGAGGAAACTGTCGAGGAAAAATTTATTGACGTTCCAAAACTACCGACGGGAAATATTCCCACTATTACCAACAATTGTCAATTACACAGTGCCGTGTTGTAACTAATATGTTCACGCTCCAGTTACCCCATACAATAACATTGGACACGTAAATGACGGATGCCTACATCCGCTTTAAACACAAACCACTGACATATCAAGAAGCCCACGGATTATAGGATACGAAGAGTCAAACAATGACACCGACTTGTTAATCTATATCACCAACATGGCATTACATCCTCATTCATAACTGATTACTGTTGTTAGCCTTAAGTTTATATGTGCAACAAAAATTATTAGGTACTTCTCGTAATGATTTGAAAAAAAGTGTTAAAGTTGGTTATTTGTAAAATATTATAATATACAAAATACCTTCTAAAGCTCACAGTTTGATAATAAATAATTGTGATATAAAAAACGAACTATTACTGCGTGAAACTCAAAATTAGATAAACCCAAAATCCATGTAGTTGGAAAAGAACAATTCGGACAAAAAGAAAGTAAAAATACCTTTGGTTGATTTATTTTAAATAGGTTCTTACGGTTTTAAAAAAATACTAATATTAGTCATAAAACAATAAAGTGAAGATTTATATAGTCTATAAAATAAGTAAAAAAAACACAGTAAACGACAGAAGACAGTATACGGTTTTATTTTAAATAATAAAATATATACCACCCATCACACTACTGTCCTAATTAATCATAATAAATAAAATCAATACATTAATAATAGCATTTTCCAAACTAAAGCAGTTTCAATCTGGATTGTATTATTTCTAATCGCATTGTAAATATTGTAATACAGATAAATCGTAAATAAATCAGCAACCATTTTGTTATCATAAATTTCCATGATGATAAGTATATCACCAAATATTACTGGTATTAATTGGTGATTATATTTATACACAGCCAATTATTACGGATAAAAGTATTACAGTAATATTAGAAATACAAGGTTTTTGTATTTCATAATCTCTAGGATTTAAAAAGTCATTGCTAATATTATTATGTCATTGAATTTGCTCATTGTGTTATTGGAATCTTGTTTGTGTTTAAATCGAAAGGAATAATAAATTCAAAAGGAATAAAATTATTTAACATAATGCGCAGTTAAAGAAACAAGTTTTTTGAAGAAACATAAACATGCTTTCTTGTATGATCGAAAGCAAACTTAACGAAAAACAATTCGTCTTTACTTAGTTCAATTACGTATGTGTCACAATCTCTCATTAAAATTACTTGATAGGTACTTATCTGTCGAATATACACATTTATTTAAAAGTAATTATAAACGAAGCGTTATTAAAACGAATTTAAATGCAAATAACTTAAACAACATAATATTTAAATTACGATTTTTTTTTGTCGTTTGCCATGTGTTCAGTGCATTTTGGAATAGCTTCAAATATCTATAGTAAAAAAATGTGAAACAAGTCAAGACACTTGACACAATTATTACTTTTGTCAAGTTTAAAAATAAACGATTTAACGCCAGACATAAATAATCTATTGACGTCACGAATCTCATTTAAATAAGGATAACTGAAAAGGGATCACAAAAATGGAACTAAAGCTAACTAATTACTGTGCTCGTGGAAATGACGAGGCAACATGAAATTCAACTACATTTTGATATTTGAATTTAAGTTAACCTTTCTTACATGAATTAACATTTAAAAAATATTATTATCATTTTGTGTTTTGAAATGGGTTCTTTTTATAAAAAAAAAAACAACTTGAAAAACTAAAGACTTTTCCAACCAATTCAATCCTGAAATGTCAATTTTCTAAGTCATCAACATTTTTTTTAATAATAAAAGAACCACGAGTTGATTTTTTATTAAAAAAAAAAAAAATGGCGTTACGGCTCAATGCCTTAAGACTGCTGAAGCTACATCATAACAATTGTAAAAAAATATAAAAATTCAATGGTAACAAAAAAGAACTCACCTTTTTGGGCATCGTTGGTGATTCGACGAACTCTTCATCATCCCGGCTGGACAATGTAGAGCATGACGAGCATGCTGAGTCTGCTGATAGCGACCTTGACCTCAACCAGTTCACCTCTTCTTCTGTAGCTCCCACTGCCACTCCATCTGAATAGTCGCTCACAACTACACTAGGTGTCCTCACGCATCTCCCTCTGATTTCAGCGCCCTCACTACTCCTTCGTCCCAGTTCCACCACATGTGCCTCGATTAATGTCCTCTCTCGTCTGGGTGACATCGTGTCCGGTGGGGGCGTGATGTCACGAGGATGTGAATGCCTTCGTAAACGGGTCTCTAACTCAACTGCAGAATCATCGCTAAGATCGCGACTACGACGCCTGACAGCAGCTCTGTCATCGTCATCCGAGGACGAGATGTCTTCGGATGGCGAGGACGTGCGTGGTGGCCGTAGGTACTGCATCGGACCGGGTTCAAAACGGCGTAGCAGCTCTGAAACGCGCGGTTGTGCCTGTCGGGTAACGCGGCCGATCGGCGGCGCGCGCGCGCCCGCACTGGCACTCGTCCTGCGCGGCGCGTGCGCCTGCATTTGCTCTGGTACACGCGCTTGTTCCGATGGTACTCCCGCGCTCAGCTTCAAGTAAAACAAACTGTGGCTCAGAGCCTTTTCCCGCAGCACACGGCGGAAGTCTTCTTGCGCCGGTTGCTCAAGGCGTGGCATTGTGGCTGCAATTTTAAAACAAGAAGGCTTTACTTTTTTGGCAGCAAGAGACTAAAACTTTAAAAAAAAGTGTGTATAAAGAAGTAATGACGATGTAAACGCATTAATGTTCTTCATAAAAAAATATGTTTTGTTTTGGGCTTAGTATGTATTTAAATACAAAGAGAAGACATACCTACATAAACAGAGCATTGTTAATTCGCGTCAATTTGCTAATTAAAAAAACATTAAATACCAACCTTGTGCTATATAAACGGGTGCTCGAAAATGTTTCAATAATTAAACATTTCAGTCTTATCTGAAACAAAATAAATAACGTTTAGAATACACATTTACAGCAGGATGTTGATAACAATATTTAAATACATTGATTAAAAAGTTGAAACCATTATTTTTCTAATTATTTACTATTTATCGTGTGTGTTTTAGGACATTAATTCTTATTAGAATAGCTTAAAGCTTTAACAAGAAGTATCAACTGATTATGCTGTAGTAACAAACCTCAGCTTTTGGTATATATGCCAATATTCTACATTTTGTCTAAAGTCAACCACAAATACATTGAATTATAACAATTTGCATAGGTATCTATGCGAAACCTATGCATTGAGGAATACTGGATATCTTAGTTTATTTTTAAGTTTTACATAATTTGTGACTTATTTTGCGACAACGAATCCGACTTCATCTTTTAAAACTTGAGATTTAATGGTTCAATTTTTGTTTTATTATTTATTGTTGCTTTTGATTGATTAGGTTTTTGTAAGTCAATTTCTGTCTTTCATTTTGGAATAGTTTTATAATTTAAGTAAAATATAAATACTATGTACCTATTATATATAAAAAAAAATCTTTATACTATCTGTGAAAACAGCATATAGGAAACGCAGTGTTACACATCGGCATCGACGCATAACAATACGCAATAAACGAAGCACTTTTATCAAAGCAGATTATCTGATACTAGTGTAATATAGATAACGAGCTATTGCCAGTGACTTCGCTTGCGTGGTTAATTCTAACTTTAAAAATGACGAACTTCCATAAAAACGTTTATTTCTTATTTTACCCCCTTAGCGGTGAAATTACCAAAAATCCTTTGTTAGTGGGTGCTTACAACACAAAAAACATCAACTGCCAAAATTTCAAGTTTGTAGCCACAGCGGTTAAGGCTCTGCGTTGATGAATCAGTCAGTTAGTGCAAATCTATACTAATATTATAAATGCGAAAGTGTGTCTGTCTGTTACTCTTTACGCTTAAACTGCTGAACCGATTTGAATGAAATTTGGTATAGAGATAGTTTGAGGCCCGGGATATGACATAGGATTGTTTTTAACCCAGAAATCATTCTTTAAGAGGGTAAAAAGGGGGGTGGAAGTTTGTATAGGAGTCAATAAGCGCTAAACCGATTTAGATGAAATTTGGTATGAAGATAGTTTGATTATTGAGGAAGGACATAGGCTCCTTTGCACCGCCATAACCGACATACACGTATTGCCATTGTTGGTTTTGATTGATTGGGTTTATGCTATTCTATTTCTGTCTTTCTCTTCCAAATAGTTTGATGTTTTAAGTAAATCGTAAAAACTATGGATGTGCTAGTTGTGAAAACATAGCATATGTATTACACATCAATATTGATGCATAACAATACGCAATCAATTCATAAAGCACTTTTATCAGAGCAGATTATCTAATACAAGCATAATACTCGTATAGATAACAATTATTTTTCTCAAGAAAAACTGGCCTAAGTATAATTCGATGTTCTTTTCGTTTTATTTTGCATGTCCATGCAATGTCCATGGCGTGGACCATAATTAAAATTAGGAAAAGGACCAATTAAATGATGATAGACGACCAGCATATAAACACCTCATTTCATTAATAGTCCTCATCTATCTGTTTGTTTGATGTCACAAGTCTCAGTTGGGAAAACGAGAGTCAGACTTCAGTAGCTCGAAAATGGCAAGACCACGTACATATCCCTTTTGTCATTGGTACCTACCTCTTTCACCTTGACATTCACCCCACAAATAAAAATATCCGGCCTTCGTACTTTCACATACCTGCGAGAATAGGTTATTAAGAGCCTTTTTTAATTAGGGGCAGAAGATTTTATTTAGACTTTTAAAAATAAGTTTTTTCTTTTTTATCTTTTTCCAGATTGTGGTTTTTATATTCAGAGGATCACTTCAATATCATTATGTTTTCTGTGGCAAATAACCATGCACCACTTCAATTGCGATAACCAGTAAATTGGTATTTGAATTTAATTCATAGTTAGCATTATAATAAAAAAAAATAGAAAAACGGAGACTGTCGCTTATGAAAAGACTTCGGTAAGTGCCAGTTATTATTTGATTATATTTAATCTAATCCATTTACAGTAATTCATGACGTATTTGATGTGTCATTTTTTCCTTAAACCCAAAAGAAACAATCTGTTCAATTTGCGGTATTTCCGGACCGATACGACCTTTAAACCTTCAAGAAAAGAGCGTACTCCTTCCTCAAGGGCTAGCAACGCGCTTGTGACTCCTGAGTTGCAGGCGTCATCATAGGCGGCGGTAATCGCTTTCCATCAGGTGAAACAACTGCTCGTTTGCCCCAAACCATGATTTTATTACATACTATATATATATATATAGTATGAAAGTGTAATTTGAGTGAATTTGTAAAACATGCGTAATAGGTGTATACATATGGAAATCTGTACATATATTTATTCCTCAGTAAAATATAACTAAGTACACCACATGGGGGAAATCTTGTAAAGACTAAAAAACCCTTATCTATTTATCAACTAATCATCACGATCCCTTCTGCAACACGTAAATTACTCGTATGTTAGGATAAAACGCTGTTTTATTTTACAATTAGGTTTGATCATTTTTGTAAGCTGTATAAAAAATGGTTATGTGACTCAAAAGAGGAAAGAAGAGTCTGACGATTTTTATGTTTCCTAATAATAAGGAAGTTTTTGAAATGTGAATACAAACAAAAGGGCAATCGCTTAATAAATCCATTAATTTCTTACACAATTTTCCCCATTACATTTAGGTACATTTAAATTTAGAGATTTTACCGTGAATACATCACAGAATTGTGAAGAACATTTGAATAACGGGAAGTTTGCTTTATGATCACTTTACCAAGAACTAAAGTAAGTAATTTGTTAAAAATTAATAATCACTAATTAGATTGAAATGAGTCATCTAATTAAAATACTATTCTTGGGATATACAGATGAATCATGAAAATGCAAGAGTCTAACGCCATCTAGTATTATCATTAGGTCATCAATATATACATATATTAACTGAGCTTCTAAGCTGCAATTCAAATCCTAAAAGTGCTCCCAATTTCGTTCAGTATTTTTTGTCTGAGACACGTACAAACTTACAAACAGACAAAAAAATATTTATTTTGACTTCTATTGCTTATACCGACGTTATTTTTTTAATTATCTATAACGTTAGACCCATTAGAACCAATAAAATCGATTGAATTTCAAACAGTTTTTTAATTAGTTGAATACAGACATTTTTTATTTTGTTTCCAGTCAATATGTAGCAATTCCTGTGATTTCTTTCGTATCATATAGCAGCTCAAGGCACAGAATAAGTAATAATAGGTTTCTAGATTTAAGTAATAATAGTATATTTATGTAAAGTAACATAAGTCTGAAAGTAATACAACCATGCTTAAATTGTTTAAAAAAATATATATTTCGCATAAATATTGAAGTATTCTCATGTTATTGTCATCAGTTTTATAAAAAGAAGAGGTGTCCGATCAGGGAAAAGCCCCCAATGAATTTCTTTTTTCTTTAAGTCGTTTAGAAATCCCTACAAGTTAACACTTCACCGGTGTTACATCATCATCATCAACAGACTTTAATTATCCACTGCTAGACATACGAGTAGGTCTCTCCTTAGACATAAGGTTTTGGCCTAATATACGAGGTTGGCCAGACGGGATGGTATAAGGTTTGTGTCAAGTTTTCCTTGTCTTCGCAGTGCTATTTGTTGTCCTGCGTAGTTGGCTCCCTTAGTCGGCTCTTACGTCAGTCACGGGAGTCCGTGTGATGACGGAATAAGAATACGAGGATGATACGATAATTAAGTTACATACGACATACCAATGTCGAACCGACTAAACCCTCACGTTATTCCGTCACACGTGAGACTATGTCAGTAGACTCGGGTATTCCCTATCAAGGCAGTTCCCGAAAACCCGAGCAGATCTTGGGAACCACACAATTGTGAATTTGAATAAACTGTACGGGTTTACTATACGGGTCAATTTTCAATTCTATGGTACATTTTTTCCATTCATCTTGCATATTAAACACATAAAACAGAAGCAAATATTATTGTAATGTACGTCGCGTATAAACATGTGTGTACAATTTGTGCTAATCTATGGGACTGGTATGCACGTGGACAGAAACTATAATGGCTTTGAGTAAAACATAAAAATATTTACACACGCACACAAATCTGAAGGCCAAAGACCGTTAAACTAATAACGGACTGGTCTTTCCCTGATGTTTGCTGGCAGTAACCCGCTCTTTGGTCACTGCTATGCTCCTAAAGGTCTCTGCGTGATATTAAAACGTCAAGGAATCTCAAGACTTAAACTATCTGGAGAAAGAAATGTCTTGAAGTTTAAGAAAGAAGAAAGGCATAAATAGTTTTTACATAGGTATGACTTAGTTCGCTTTTCGTCCTGAACAAATAGTTGTGTGACAAGCACAATACTTTGGTTTTTATTCGATAAATTATATTATTTATGTAATGTATGTAAAATACTATAGTATAACTATGTATTTATTAGCAGTTTGATTAAGTATATGCTCTGTCAATTTGGTTTCAAGCCGCCAGATATGAGGTGTGTGAAGTTATTATTATTAAATAGGTCAACACCAAACAAAGTCAAGTAAAGAATAGGTAGTATTTTTTAAGTCTGTGAGTTACAATTTAAACAATTTTGTAAAGCTAAAGTTAAATATAACAAGCTGATACGGAACTTTTTACTGTCCTTGTCCCATACAAGGAACAAAGAGTTTAGCAACGAGCGGCTCTGCAGTTAAAAAATAAACAATGAATATTGGGTATTTTCTATCGATTGTATTGTAAAAAACTATTAAGTAACAATTAAGTTTAGAAACGGGATGTAAAATCTAGAGCACTTACAATAAATTAGAAATAAACCATGGAGTTGGCAAACAGTCATAAAGCGTTAACATAAAACACAATAAAAAGATACATCGTTACACGCTCTGAGCGAATGGGAGCGAGACCGAAAAATGTGTAACAAGACTTTTTTCCGACACTTCTTGCTATAGTACGGATTTTAATGCAGCTCAAGAAAAGTGATTCCAGAGGAAGGTTCATATGTATGAACATGCACTTATGTATGAAAATCTGATAATTTGAAAGATTTGTCGCAAAAAGCACGTTACGCTTACATTGCAAACGCTTTCAAAACCTTACGAGATTGACCAAAATAATGTACTACGTAATGGTATATGTTAAAAAGGTCTACAAAAATATATATGTATAAATCTATCTCCTAAGGATAAACCACAGTAACCATTTTTATCTTTTAAATATTACAAAAAATAATGGGTTGTTTACGAAGCTATTTTAAACTATTTTATTTCTTATCCAATTAAATACGTTAAATACGCTGGGCATTTAATGTAAATTAAAATTGCATATCATTAAAATAATAATTTTAGAAGATATTAGAGGTTCGAAATGCGGGGGCAAAGCCTGCTCCGTTTTTGCTGGACTGTACGTCCGTCCCGGATGGCAACGGCCGGCAGGAACGAGGCGGACCTATATAATTATATTTCATACCTATAAAGATGTCCTATAGTATAGTCTTATCAACGTCTACCAAAAAGCGAAAACTTAAACTCAAACTATTTTTACGTCATAAAAAAATTGTTTGAAATCGTCTTACCTAGATAAGTTTTGAGATGGTTGAAATTTGAAAATGGAACGGATCTGCCATATTGCATTATTAAAAAGAAAAAATTACTAGAAAATCAAACACAAAAGGCCATTTACAGCAATAAAAAAAAAATAGAAGTATTATACTGTCATCATTTCCCGCTTTTTCGTCTGCTACAATGGATCTTAAACGTGAAAATTTGCGGGCTATGATCATTGAGTTAAAAGTATTATATCAATGGCTATGATATATTACGACTTCAAATGTTGTTTATCTAATCTTTAAGTTTAGGAAATTAGTTCAGAATAGTATACTTCAGTTGCAGTGCCAAAAGTTATTAAAGCAGTGCAGGAGAGACGACCAAAGACCGTGCTCCGGGAAATGATGCTGCACCACGACAATGCCTGTTCACACTCTCCCCTCAGAACAAAGGCGTTTATTCAAGAATCGGGTAATGAAACCCTGCCTCACCCGAAATTTGGATAGAGAGTGATGGTAAGTATTTTAAAAAAATATTGTAGTATAAGTATACATATTCACTTTTTGCGTGTCTCAAAATTTACATAGTGACCTATTTATGTAGACTCTAATGTCATAGATCAAACCACACACTAGCAACAATCTCTGTTTTGTCTAATATTTAGCAAAATAAATATAATGAAAGTATACCTATCGAAAATCTATTACATATATGCCTGTGCCGATCTACAAACGCCCGTTTCCAAGGGGTTGAGCCTAATAAGAAGAAAGGACAAATAAACTCACGGCCACTCTTTTTTAATTAAAACATAAATATAATGGCATCATTAAATATACCACAACATTGCAAAAATATAGAGAAGAAAAAATAAAAATAAAAAATGGAAAACACACTAGCCCACACTACATTTTCACTTTTCTTGTCTTCTATGTAATCCACGATTGAGTAGTAAGCTTTCGAACATAATTTACGCGTTATTGCGGATTCAAATTTGTTTGTACGTAAGTCTTGTATATTATTATGGCTTTTATTATAAAATTGGATACATTGA